TAAATTAGTGGCAGTGGAATATCATGAAAATATTGTATTTTTTCCGCTAATACATACTTTAGATTTATGCAACAAATTAAATACATAACATACTTAAATATTGAACAAAACTATATAATCTTTCATCTTATATTACTTACATCTTATACTCTGCAACAGTAATACTTCAGAACTATCATAATTAATACAAATAAACATAAACTTTTTTAATTGAAAAACGCATAAAATAAATTCTATAAACTGGAACATTTTTTATAATTTAGTAATAATACATAACTATTACAAATATTGTAGTGTATGTATCATATCAATAAACATTTGTTTTATAACGAATCTTAAAGGATGTTAAAAGGAATCAGAATTGCTTATTATTATTATCGTTAACAATTAAAACTGATTCTATCGATATTTACAGCTGTTCTTTCCTCCATATCTTTGTCATTGTCATCATGTTCAAGGCTGTCAGCTTCTTTAGAGTTTTCATTCGGCTTACTAAAAAATAATTAGTTACAAGTTTTATAAATACATACATGTGTGTGTGTGTGTGTGTGTTATAAACAACTGTATTTCTTATTCTCACTTACTTCTGTCGCTTTTCCAGCTATTTATTTCGGCTAACACTGTTTTTAAGAATTCGTTTAAAAAAAACCATATTATCATCAACTGTATAACGTGAGTCAGCTAAATGTATAATTTTATAAATTGCTTCAATTATTCGGTTGTATTTAAAGAAAGCAATTTTCTTCGTTTTTTCTTCTTTCTTCTTTGTAGAACCAGTCCATGAACACATGGTTAACAATTGCCTTTCAAATAATCGATCCATTAATAAATACACTATTTTGTTTCCATCTTTTTTACCAGTTGTACCTCCAATTTCACTCATCACATTTATCTATTAAATAAATAAGCATTGATAAGTCTGATATGTCAGGTGATAACCGAAACTTTCAATAAACTAAAACGAAAATATATAACGCGTACAACATAAACCATATGTGTATGCACTTCATGCTTCGATGTAGAGCACATATGTATGTGGCTTTTGGTTGTGCGTTACCCCACACATCATAAGTTTTTTGAAAGCCTCGACATTTATAAAATATTGTGAGTATACAAAGAGAGAAGCGCTTACAAATACTAATTCGAATTCTTCATTACATAGGTTCTTCTCTAAACTATTAACACTTTACCGACCGGTAGCATTCAACATCCTATGCACTTCTCACCGGCCACTCGGCCGCAGATCTTCTCTGGCACCGGCTCTGTTTCGGCTTAGACTGTCGTGCGGGAATATATGCGCTTTTCTTATGCTCAAGTAAAATTATACGCTTTCTGTTATTATAAGATAATCAAATTTGATAAAATCTTTTATTTTCATGATATTAGTGCTAAGCAATATTTATTTTATCTATTACAATCGTTTTCAGTTTAATATGTATATAATGTACCATAATCCATATAACCATATTTTTCAAATAAGAAATCGTTTAATATTTTTTTAAAGTATGATGCCGCTCAAAACAGTTACCTTTGTGTAGTGGAATATTGCAAAATTTACAGATAAAACTTGTTCTACTTCTTTTTTTTTTTAATTGTACAAACTCTGCATTGTCTTTGGGGTTTTGCATTCCGACCGCTGGTCACTATGTTTATAAGTTTATGCTTTCCGAAATTTGACAGTCTTCCGAGATGATTGAATCGGGATGTTTTCCTTGTGGGTTCAGAATAAGGTTGATTTTTATCTTGTTCCTTAGCTTCACAATCTTCTGTCCACAATACTGCCACTTTGTGCATAAAATTTTTATACGTAATATTTTTTCCATTTAGAGCTGTATATGCTTTAAATGAATTTAAAATTGCACAGTTGATAAAGAACATTACGACTCGTTTAGTCCATTTCTTTGTCTTCCTAAAAATGGAATAATAGGATAAATATTGGTCTGCGCGGTCTACGCCCTTCATATATTGGTTATAATCGATTATTGAAGTAGGCTTCTGTGTTAGGGCATTTGCTTTTCGACTTCTGCTTCCAGATTCCGTTAATTGTGCGGAATGTATTGTTGAGATCATATTTACATTTCTTTTGCCATTATTCCACATTTATAATAAAATATGGTGATTTCTACGAAATTCACGCTGGCCTCTTGAAAGTTTTATTGTTTGGAGTAATTGAAGAAGACCTCTATTTCTCCGAATTGTTCCACAAACTCGCACTTTATTTTTCAAAAGAATTTTAGCCATATTGACACTGTTGTAGTAGTTATCTTGATATATATGGTGCCACATGTTCTTATAGGGTCCAATAACAGATAATACAGTATCTTCTAATTTTTGTCCATCAGCAGCATACACCCGAAAGTTACATATGTATCCTGTACGAGCTTCACACAGCATTCTGACCAGTATTCCGTATTTTGTGAGTTTTGCGGGATTATATCAGGTGTAGTAAAAAGAAATCTGTTATTTTTCCAATAGATGGCTTTAGTTATCTGTATCTCGCGTTGTAAGTCCGATCGGGTTCCACTAGATGGCGTTAGAAAGATGAGATTTCGTACTAAAAAAACTTTTGTGACCGTTTTGTGATTAGTTGACTCAGTTTTATTTGAGCGCGCGTCAAAGATGGACACTAACAAAGAGAAAATACGCTATATTTTACAGTTTTTCTTCGATAAAGGCGAAAATGCAAGCCAGGCGGCTGAAAATGTGAATAGTGATTATGGTCCTGATACTGTAACAGCCAATCACACGCAATTTTGGTTTCGTCGATTCCGTTCCGGTAATTTCGATGTCAAAGATGCACCACACACTGGAAGGCCAATTGTCGAAAATATCGATAAAATCATGGACATTGTCGAGTCCGACCGTCATGTAAGCACTGTTTCGATTGCCCAAGAGCTAAAGATTGCACAAAAGACCGTTTAGAACCATTTGAATAAGGCTGAATATAAAAAGAAGCTCGATGTATGGGTGCCACACGAGTTAACGCAAAAAAACCTCATGGACCGAATTTCCATCTGCGAATCGCTGCTGAATCGCAACAAAATCGACCCATTTCTGAAACGGTTGGTCACTGGTGGTGAAAAGTGGATCACTTACGACAACGTCAAGCGAAAACGGTCGTGGTCGAATCGCGATGAGCCGGCGGAAACGGTGGCCAAGCCAGGATTGACGGCCAGGAAGGTTTTGCTGTGTGTTTGATGGGATTGGCAGGGAATGATCTACTATGACTGCTCCCCTACGGCAAAACTCTTAACTCGGAACTATACTGTCAACAATTGGACCGTCTGAAGGAAGCAATCACCCAGAAGCGGCCAGCTTTGGCCAATAGGAGAGGAATTGTGTTCCATCAGGACAATGCCAGGCCACACATATCGATAGTGACTCGCCAGAAGTTCCGGGAGCTTGGTTGGGAGATTCTTATGCATCCACCTTATAGTCCGGACCTGGCACCAAGTGATTACCATGTCTGTTCCTGTCCATGGCGAACAATTTTGCTGGTGAAAAATTCGCTTCAAGAGAGGCTTGTGAAAATCGACTGTCTCAATTTTTTGCCAATAGGGACGAGGGCTTCTATGAGAGAGGCATAATGAAATTACCTTCAAAATGGCAACAAGTTATGGAACAAAACGGCGCATATTTGACCTAAATCGGATCATTCTAACTATGGTAATTAAAGCCTTCAATTTCATGCAAAAATAATGGATTTCTTTTTACTGCTATAATGTTTTCTTGTAAAAACTTATGTTATATACATAATAAATATATATCTCAAAAAAAGGAAATAATTTGAATTTGAGATATCTAATATCACTTCTTTTGTATAAGTTTTACTTGTAAAAACATATGTTATATACACATATATACTTAAAAAAGATAATTTGAATTTGTAATAATAACCTTTAAAAAGATATCTTTTTTAAATATTGAACACTATTAATAAACGTGTTAAAATTACATAACACGATATCATTTTTACTTGTAGAAAGTAATGTTAAGTGCATTATAATAACAAGTAAAACAATCATATAACTCAGTGTTATAATAAATAATGATAAATTAAATATTGGACACTACTAATAAACGTGTAAAATTGTTATAACATGATATCATTTGTACTTGTAAAAACTTATGTTATATACATATTATATATACAGGGTGATTCAGACTACTCAGGGGTGGGCCGACCCCTTGTGGGAACATCCCTGACCGCGCTAGGAGGGACAGCCTCCCCCTAGGGTGAGACCCCCGACTCCGGTTTTGGTACGGAGAAGGAGGGAGCCCTGGGTGGGGAAGACCCATCCCCCGGGTGGTGGGTGCTGCAGTTTCCCCCTCGGTTCCTCACCGAGGGGTGTAGGGGGGTTGGGGGGGTCCAGTTGGGACCCCCACACACCTTTTCCCCTCCGTGGGCGCCACCTTGATGTGGTGGGGGGCTTGTGTGCCTTGATGATGTGCGAAGCTGTGCCGGCGGGGGCTTCGGCCCCTGGCAGGTTCTACCATGCCGGAGAGATCCGCACTGAAAGGCCAGACTAAGAGCGTCCTTATTCACTCTCGGAGGGGCAGCTGCCTCCGAGTTTCATACAAGGACCGGAGGGTCGCACTGGTACAAATACCAGTGCGACCCAAAGGACCCTACAGTGCGGGCAGAACGGGCTCGTAAGCCGGGTGAAGGCAACCGTTCTAGGGGAAGGAAAACCCTGACTGCAAACCCGTACTTGTCAGGACGTATAACCTGACACGATTGCGAGGGGCCAGGGTGCTTCGGCATCCTCGTACAGAGGGCTCAGGCATCCCCGGCAGACCCTAGCCTACTATACCGTAACCCTAGGTCATGTCTCTGGGGCCGGGGGTCTTGCCTTAATCGGCCGAACCGCGAGGCGGGTCCTCTATAAAATACCACGTAATCCTACGGTTGAGGCATGCCACGCTTATGGGATGAATGGCAGGTGCGTGACCTGTCGCTAGTGGTTCCTCACCCTGGGCACCTGGCGAACCCAGGGGACATGGTAGCCTTACCCCGGGCAATGCGGGGGCTCTGCCCGGGGTAGACGCCCACTTCCTGCCGCACTCGTGGGACTCAAATGAAGATTTCCAAAATAAAAACAAAAAACTCCGAGTCTTCGGACTCAAGGTCCCGTATGGACGGGTGCACCAACCCGTCCGAGGACTCACCACTCTCTTGCGAGAGTGATTTTTATGTAGAGGGAAAGGGGGTTTAGAGGTGGCAGGAGATCTGCAGGCAGGTGCCACCTCCCCGCCCCCTGGGGAGGAAGTGCAGGCTGGCCCCAGTGGATTAGCCGCTGGGGTGCAGCCAGATAAAGAGGGAAGACCACCGCCCTCAGGGGATCGCCCCTCCGACCGCGGAGGTGGCGAGGTGAGCTCGCCGGTCAGGTCCAAGCGAGCGGCCATCCAACGAGGGACCTCTAGCAGGGCTGGGTCTATGGGTCTGAGCCTAACACCGGCGGCAGATAAGCCTGGTCCTCTCTGTTCCAAGAGGGGACAGCACAAAGGAACCCGGGAGACGGGAGCCTTGGGGTCTGCGGGAGCTGAAGGGGCGTCGGAGGGGACCACCGGGAAACCGGTGGTCGTCTCCGATGTCCTGCTATCGCGGAGCTCAAGGATCCCCATATCTCGGATAAGGAAAAGGCCCAGAGAATCGCTAAGCTCCAGAGGGAGCAGCAGTAACGGCTCGTATACCGTCACCACCGGCCCAGCGCTTGAGCAGACGAAGAGGGGACGCGGCAGGCCCCCCACCACTGGTCTCGGCGTGGGGATAAGAGAGAGAAAGGAGGCGGAGGAAAAGAAGAGGAAGGAAGCAGAGAGGACTAGACAGGAAAAAGAGATCCAGACCATTTTGGATGGAGGAATCTTCCGGTCCCTCGCTGACAAGAGACCGATGGAAGAAGTCTTTAGGGACGGGACAGCCAAAGGACTTCTGAGGGAGGCAAAAGTGTGCGAGCTGGCCTCGGAGGCAGGTCGTGCCCTCGGCGTGATTCGGCTAGTCTCCAGAAGGTCCAATACCTTGAAAGGGACCTTTGTGGGGGCGCTGAATCTTGCCGTGGGAGTCTCCGAGGCCGTGCTCGCCACTTTAATGGCCAGGGTGGCCAGTAGGGAAAAGGAAGGCGATATCACCCTGGCCGAAAAAGAGACGAAGGAGCTCAGGGAGGAGCTACAGAGGTTGAGGGTGGAGAATAGGCAGCTGGAGGAGGAGCTGAGATCGACGAAGAGACAAGTCTCCTCGTCGATCTCTATGGCTCCTCCGACAGCTGCCGCTTCTTCTCCACCAGGTCCATCAGGTAGGAAACCCACCTATTCAGAAGTGGTGAGAGGATCATCCTCGGCCGGATCCAGTGAGGAGGAGGAAAAGAATAGGGAGAGAAAGAAGAAAAAGAAGATGAAGAGAAAGGAGAGGGAAAGGAAGAGGAGGAGGATTGTCTCGTCCTCAACCTCCATCTCCGCCAGGATGGTGGAAGAGGACCAGGACATCCCCTCCTTAGATGACAATTTGGAGGACATGATCCATCCGTTCCCCCCGAAGGAGAAGATGAAAGGCGCTGAAGAGGAACTGGACACCGACCTGAAGGCCCGGCTCCCCGGCTGTGGCTGCGGGGCGGAGGTCGAGCGGCTCAGGGCCGCCGTCAGCCGCCTCGAGGCTGTTGGCCGGGGGGTGAGCCAGCGGTGTCGGTGGGGGTCCCAGCGTTCACCCCTTCCTCAGCGCCGGAAAGGATGAAGGCGCCAAATAGGAAGGTGAACATAATCCCGGAGGGACCCAATGGACGAAGGAAGAAGGGTCAAGGGAAAAAGGAAAGGAAAAAGGCGAATAAAAAGAGGAAAAAGGCCAGGGACAAACTAATGAAGGAGGAGGAGAGAAAGAGAGCCCTGGAAGGAGAAAAAGGCATGTCCGCCAAGGACATACTGCTGGCAGGAGGCTACCCGGTGGAGAAGGGACTGTGGTACTCGATTGGCCAGAACCAGGTACCACAGGTTACCCGGAACCAGGAACCACAGGAGACCTGGTCCCAGGTGGTGGGACGAAAGGAGGGAAAGAGGAGGAAGGAAGAGGCAAGAACGAGGGACCCAACTGGACTTCCGACCCTTACCCCCAAGGTGAGACCTAAAGGGAAGGGACCAGCTATAGCAGGAGGGGGCAGGATTAAGCCGCCACGCTCGGCGGCCGTCACGATAATCTGCCCCGAGGGCGAATACGCCAGCTTTATGTTGGAGGCCAGGCGTCGCATCATCCCGGCGGACCCGGGGATCGGTGGATCCCTGAAGGTCCGCCGGGCCCTGAGCGGGGCAATGTTGGTTGAGGTGCCTGGCCTCAACGTCGGGATATCCGCCGACCGGCTTGCGGACGAGCTCCGCAAGCTGGCGGCGGAAAGGGGCCCCGGTTTTCGCGTCCAAAGGCCGGTAAAGGTCGCTGCACTGCGACTGGCTGGCCTGGACGCGACAACCGGGGCCGAGGAAGTGACGGCCGCCGTTGCCCGCGCTGGGGGATGCTCACCTGGGGTGGTATCCCCAGGGGTAATGAGTGTCACCCAGCGGGGTACGGGCGCCATGGTAGTGCGATGTCCGCTGGCGGTGGCCGCGAAGGTCGCCGCCGCGGAGCGGGTCCACGTGGGTTGGACCCGTGCCGGGGTGACGGCGCTGCCCGCTCGCGCGGTGCTGTGTTTCCGGTGTCTTCTACCGGGACACGTGCGCGAGCGGTGCATCAGCGCCGTCAATCGCAGCGATTTATGTTATCGCTGCGGTAGCCCCGGCCACCGCGCCAAAGGGTGCCTGCGGGCGGCGAACTGCCCCATTTGTGCAGAGGCGGGCAGGCCCTCCGGTCATAAGATCGGAGGGCCTGCCTGTGGCCCCCCTGCGGACAACAGGAAGAAAAAGAAGAAGGGGAAGAAGACAGGAGGTCTAGTGGGAGCGGGAGACACGGGGGTGACGAGTGCCCGAAACGTCGCCGGAATGCCAACCAAGCCGACACCAGAGCAGCCAGGAGAGGGGAGTTAGTCCCATCCCCCAAGAAAGGATCTCGAGGGGGAAGATGCAGGGAAACCAGCCCTCACCCCAACAGAAGGCCGGGAGGACCATCCATCCAGCCAGTGCGACTGGGAACCGGAGACGGCGAAAGGCGCAGAAGGCTGGCAGGAGAAACCACTGGTACCTCCAAGAAGGAAGAGGAAGGGTAGGGGAGACCCGGACACCTCGACGGAGGAAAAGGAACAGGAGGATTCTAAGGTAAGGAGGGGGGTGGAACCCATGGGTCCACCCCCAACAACCCTAGAGGATGGGGAGATGGAGGGAGCGCCATCCCCATCCCCCCAGGTTGACGATTCCTCCTCATACTCCCGAGAGGAGGAATCCGCACAGGTAGGGACCCCCCACCACTCCGCGGAGGCATCCGTAGACGAGGCCACCACAGCCGAAGCCTCCCCCGGGCTATCCGAGACGGCTCTGCCGTCAAAGGATGGCCAAGGGGGGCCGAAGTAGGTAGCCCGGAGGAGGCGTGAAAGGCATGGCCTTCACGCCACTCCGGGTCCTACAGGCCAACGTCGGCCACGGCGCCCGGGCTCAAGACCTCTGCATGCAGAGGTTGAAAGAACTGAGTGCCGGGCTGGCGGTGGTCACCGAGCCGCTCTGGATCCCGGTTCGCAGTGCGAACTGGTTCAGGGGTCCGGACAGCTCGGTGGCCATGGTGGCAAACCCTGCGACGGGGGCCCCGCCCTGTAAATTCAGGGAATCGGGGCCCTCGTACGTGGCGGTCGATTGCGGGCCCATCACTGTGGTGGGGATATACCTTCCCCACCACAGGAACAAGGCCGGTCTCGGTCGTCCTGCCCCGATCAAGGCGCTCCTGGACAGGGTCGGAGAGCTGGTACGGAGGTGCCATCCCCGACCAGTCATAGTTGCCGGGGACTTCAACGCCCACTCGGACGGGTGGGGTTGCAGTCCCTGGCAGCGGGACCGCCGGGGGGACACCGTGATCGGCTGGGCGGCGGGACTGGGCCTTATTCTTATGAATGAGGGCTCAGAAAGCACCTGCGTGCGGCCGGGGGGGGACGGAGGCTCGGTCATTGATTTGACCTGGGCGACCCCCTCGGCCGGGGGGCTCTTCTACGAGTGGAAGGTGGAGGCGGAGGGTGAGACACTGTCTGACCATAGACATATAGTGTGGACCCTCCGTCTCCCCAGACCCCAGCAAGTGCTCATCCGCCGCCCTGGGGAGAGGGAACCCCCTCTCCCCAAGAGATGGGCCCTCAACTGGACTGGACGCGGACAGGTTTCGGGCGGCTGTCCTCGTGGCATCCTGGCACCTGGAGGAGGTGCCAGGGGGGCGGGACCCCGACCCCTGCAAGGGGGCCGAGGAAATAGTGGGCATCGTGACATCGTGTTGCGACGTTGCGATGCCCCAGTCCCGCCCCCGATCCCGCCGGGCAGCATATTGGTGGAGTGAGGAGCTAGGACGGCTCCGACGCTCCGCCATCACAGCCAGGTGGCTGTTTGTGCGTGCCCGGCGGAATGGAGGGGATGTCACGGGGACAAAAAGGGAATACTTCCGAGTGAGGAAGACCCTGAAAGTCGCCATCGCCGAGGCGAAGCGAGCGTCCTGGGAGCAACTTGTGAGCTCCCTGAACGAGGATCCGTGGGGGCGCCCTTACAAAAGGGTGACCGGGAAGGTCTGCCCTTGGGCGCCCCCGCCGACCGAACAAATGGACCACCAGGCCCTCGATGGGCTCCTGGACGCCCTCTTTCCGAGGGTGGAAGGGGGCCCACCAGTGATCCCTCCCCCAGAAATGGGGGAGGGGAACTGGGACGAGGGCCTGGAGGTCAGTCCAGAGGAGCTCGCAGGGGCCAGGAAGAAGCTCGGGGCCAAGGGCAAAGCCCCTGGCCCCGACGGAATTCCTGGCCGCGCCTGGGCCCTCGCACTCGGCGAGGGAAACCTGTTCGCGGCCACGCGCAGGGTTCTAAACGGATGCCTCAGGAAGGGGGTACTCCCCCCAGAGTGGAGGAGGGCCAAGCTGGTCCTCCTCCCCAAGGAGGGCAAAGCACCCGGTAGTGCGTCGGCCTACAGGCCGATATGCCTGCTGGACGAGGCGGGTCAGTTGCTAGAACGCATCATTGCCGACCGCCTCGTCCAGCATCTGTCCTCGGAGGGGCCGAACCTCCACGGCCGCCAGTTTGAGTTCAGGCCCGGGAGATCAACGCTGGACGCTGTCCAGTGTCTCCGGGGCCTGACCCGGGCGGTCGTGGAGAGGGACGGCGGGGTGTTGTTGGCGGTATCCCTGGATATCAGGAATGCCTTCAACACCCTGCCGTGGCCGGAGATCGGGCGAGCGCTCGTGCATCACGGCGTGCCCGCCTATCTCCGGCGCATCCTCTCGGCCTATTTCGGGGCCAGGGACCTCGCCTTCCCGATGGAGGGTGGGGTCCAGGGCCGGCGCACCATGGAGCGCGGTGTTCCGCAGGGATCCGTTCTGGGCCCTCTGCTATGGAATATCGCGTTCGACCGGGTGCTGAGAACTCAGCTCCCCCCGGGCTGCCGCGTCATCTGTTACGCAGATGACACTTTAGTGGTGGCCGGGGGGGAGAACTGAGGGGAAGCCCGCCTCCGCGCGGAGGCTGCACTGGCATCGGTGGTGGGCACCATTAAGGACCTCGGACTCTCGGTGGCGCCCCAGAAGACCGAGGCCGTATATTTCTACGGCCGAGGTCGAGGGGCGCCTCCGGAAACCGAGGTCCTTGTGGATGGCGTCCACGTCCGCGTCGGGCCGACGATTAAATATCTCGGCCTGACGTTGGACAGTCGTTGGAGCTTCGGGCCCCATTTCGGGAACCTGGCCCCCCGGGTGCGCAAAGCAGGTCTGGCGGTCGCCAGCCTCATGCGCGCCCAGGGAGGCCCGGGCTGGATGGCACGCCGCCTGTACGTCACGGCCGTGCTCTCGATCGCCCTTTACGGGGCGCCCATATGGGCGCCCAGCCTCTTGGTCTGCGGGAGGGGAAAACGCTCCTTCCGGCAGGCCTTGAGGCCTGTACTGATAAGGGCGATTCGGGGGTATCGGACCGTGTCGTACATGGCGGCGACCACCCTGGCCGGCGTCCTTCCCGTAGAGCTCCTTGCCGATGAGAGAAGTACTCTCTATTGGCGGGTGAAGGAGCTCCGTGCGGAGGGGACGCTAAGGGCCAGGGATCTAAGGGGCCTGAAGCTCCAGGCCAGGAACCGGACCCTTCGGAGATGGGAGGACGTTTTGTCCGACCCGAAGATGTCCGGTCCCAAGACGGCAGCGGCTGTCCGCCCCTGCCTGTCCGAGGTGACGGGCAGGAGGGGACGTGGAATGTCATTTCACCTGGTGCAGATGCTGACCGGGCACGGATGCTTCGGTCGGTATCTGCACCAGATAAGGAAGGAGACCACCACCCGGTGCCACCACTGCCCCATTCTCGAGGACACGGCGCATCATACCTTGTCCACATGCTCGGCATGGGACGAGGAGCGCCGTGTCCTCGAGGGGGCGGTGGAGTGCCGAAGGGGGGACCTCTCGTTCCCGCGCATGGTCAAGGCCATGTGCGGGAGCGAGGAAGTGTGGGACGCAGCGGCCTCCTTCTGTCGGGAAGTTATCTCGCAGAAGGAGGCCGCGGAGTGGGGATGTCGACCGGGAATGCGTCGCAAGAGGCGGCGCATCGGTCGACGATCCCCGAGAGGAGGAATCGGAAGCGCATCCGAGGTGGCGTCGGCCGAGGAGGACTCACCCGTCGATAGCGACGGGTCGGGGACTCCTCGACCGCCTCGGGCCCGCCACTGTCCGCGCGGGGGGGACTGGGCTATCTAGATCCCCCCCGCGCAGTCGGATAGGTAGGGCAAAGGGGGGGCGGTGTCCCGGTTTGGGACGGGCCCGCTCCCCCAAAGCTCTCCCCCCTTGACTAACAAGGGGGGGGGCAAAGGAGGAAGGGTGGGTGTCCCCTTCCTCCTAATAGGTGTGACCAGGAGGCCAACCGGTGGGGCAACCCACCGGGACCGCGCCCTGGACTTCCTTAGTGGGACAGGGCGCGGTACGTTGATGGCGTGGGGCTCCTGGAGAGTCCTGGGGCCGGGGGGTTGTGAAGGGAATACGGGAGTAGTTCCCCTGACTCCCCTCCTCACGGCCCGACAGGTAGACATCCCGCAGGGGTTTTAGTCGGTAAGAGTCCCACATAACCCCCTCCCCCCCAAAGGGGAGGGGGTATCCATGATGGATTTCCCATGCGTCACTAAAAAAAAAAGGGTGATTCAGACCACTTGTACAGTCCTTTTATTTCGATTATATATACAGGGTGATTCATTATCTTATACAGGAACTTAATACCTCGCCTGTAATAAAATTGGATATCTGAGGTATATAGTCATCGACAAGTTTCAAAGTCTGCAAAAAACAGTAAATACTATATAATAATAATATATACATATACGGCATGTAAGAAGTTTATCGCGCACGCGCACCGTAAGCCGTAATTGAGCATGCGCATGAGTAAAAGCTAAAATACAGCCAAAATAGTTGTAATCTGGCTGTAAGTTGTATGTCACAGCGAAAACAAAGAGTAATGTGACTATCAATTTTAATCGCGTCTAAAATATGTATCAGTGATGGTCAAGTGGATCTATGCGTTACTTATAGAGCTCGAACATTATTACTTAAGGATCTGTATGTAGTTCTATAATCAGCGTACTTAGAAACTTGTGCTCGCGTTAATGTAATTTGCACATTATAGTTGCAATAATTTGCAGTTATTAATTAATATGGATTAATCTCTAAATTTGATCTAACTGTAATGAGGCGAAAGTTCCGGATTGCATAAGGTTCAATCCTAGTTAAATAATTTTTGTTAATTATTTTTTAAATATTTTTACGTAATTTTAAAATTAAATATAATTTCCATTTTTTAAATAATATTAACATATTGAAAACATCCTCCATTTATTAATTTGTTTACCGAATTAATAAATGAAGCTGTTAAACGGCTGCAATACTGTCGCAGCTTAAACCGCAGCATATTTGTCTAATACAACATTATTGCTGCCACAACGTCATTATAACGTTTTGACAACGTTGTACCAGTAAAAATGGGACAACATTTTTAAGCCTTGAAAATGTTGTTGCAGCTATTTGGCTGCACAGCTATTTTGTTGTAAAGAAGTTATGACAGCTTCTTTGCAGCAAAACAGCTATGCAGCCAAATAGCTGCAATAACATTTTCAAAGCTTAAAAATGTCCCATTTTTGCTGGTACAACGTTGTCAAAACGTTATAATAACGTTGTGGCAGTAACTGTGCTGGACAAAAATGCTGCGATTTAAGCTGTGACAACGTTATCGCAGCCGTTTTAAAACTTTAAGTGCTACTTGGGATGTCAAATTGGCAATAGTTATCGAGTTATTAATTGAAACACGTGAGCCAATGAGCGCGTAGAGAGCGCTGGGCGGCCGCGGTAAGCATGTAGACATTTGGTATAGGCGGAGTCAACGAGCGTCGATAGGCGAGCGCGCGCGGCGAGCGGCAACCGTAAGCGACAAGAGGCGAGCGCGCGCGACGAGGAGCAAGCGAGTACGAACGACGAGCGAGCAAGCGCAAGCGACAAGGGGCGGCCGTCCAGCGCCCTCTCCCTCTACGCGCTCATTGGCTGACATGTTTCAATTAATAACTTGATAACTATTGCCAATTTGACATTATGGTACATGACTTTTCTTCTCGGCTACACCCAATCTATCTCCAACTTTCGTCTGCATTATAAGCTTTCAAACATCCTGCATATACAGGGTGGGCCATTTTAATCCGGCCACGGGAATATCGCCTCAGGTAGAGGCGGTAGCGAAAAATGCCTCAGACAAAAATTATAGGATGAGCAGGGGACGCCTAGCGGTGACCTTGACTTTGACCTTGAGGTGAAAGGTCAAGGTCATTTTGAGGCCAAACTGATCTTTTTTAAATAGAAACTACTATTTCAGACTACGGAAATGGAAAATACGGAAAATTTCACGTCCAAATAGGTAACTCATGACTGTGGTCAAAATGACCTTTAGGGGTTGTTTCAAGGACAAACGCGTAATATCAATCAATTCACTCAAGTAACTAGTAAGCTAAGCGAGATAGTGAAAAATGTTTCAGACAAATGTAGTATTTGGAAGTGGACGTCAGGTCATGACCTTCAACTTAACTTTGAGATAATTTTAAAGTCAAACTGAATTTTTAATTGAAATTAGTTAACAAGCTTATCAATGACTTGACTCCTACTTTTAGCGTTACCCAGGAACAACGACGTGGACGTAGTAGGGGGTATTCCCTTTGAGGTGCTTGATTCGCGTGAGTCTCCTTGCCTCTCATGGGGTGCTTGATTCACGTGAGTCCCCTTGCCTCTCACTTTTCACGGAACATTTTAGAGCAGATTCTCAAAAAACATTCCCGTTTTGCTGAATACATAATTCGATCCTCCTTTGAAAATTGTCAATAGTACTTGAAAGTACACCGCGCACAATACTTTGGCAAGCACCTCTGATTATCTCCATCATGTTATCCCTAGTGGTTGGTTCTTTAGTAAAAACAATGTCTCTTAAATAACCCCATAAATAAAAGTCTGGAGGTGTCAAGTCTGGGGATCTTGCAGGCCATGCTACAGGTCCACGTGGTCCAATCCATCTTTCACGGTAACGCTCATTCAAATGTGCGCGAACTAGATTGCAGTTATCCGGTGGAGCTCCATCCAACTAAATCACATTCTTGTTCTTGTAACAAGATCGACATCCTCCAACAAAACTGGAAGTTCATTCCGAAGGAAAGCAAGAAAGTTGTTACCGTTGACATTCTCCTCAAAAAAATAAGGACCAATCAAATAGCCGTTCAGGATGTCGCACCACACGTTAATACTCCAGCGATGTTGGTGATCGACCCCCCGCTGCTAGCGGGGATTCACATCGGACCAGTAATGGCTATTGTGCCTGTTGAGCTCGCCAGTGTTTTTGAAGGTAGCTGCATCTGAAAACATAATGTACCGAAAAAAATTTGGGTTTTGTAAAATCATCGTTCGAGCCCAATGGCAAAAACGCATGCGATTCCTTAAATCATTTGGCATAAGCGCTTGCGTTAAAGTTATATGATAAGGATGAAATTTTAGATTATGTAATATTCTTAATGCGGTATGTCTATGAATGCGACTTTGCCTTTCAATCTGACGACTACTGATCTGACGATTCAAGTGAACCATAGCCAAATCACCACACGCCGTTCTCGTCCCGGTTTTGCTTTTGTCGATGTCGCACTAAGTGACCTTATTGAGCTCTTAAGTGAATGTCCCTAATCGTGCTGTGACTTGGATGTCGTCGTTCTGGATATCGTTCTCGATAAAGAGTAGCTGCTTGACGGTAATTGCCTCGACATTCACCAAGAAATAACAACATGGCAACTTTTTCCTCTGGCGGATAATCAGCCATAATAAAAGGGTTAAATGAGTAAAAATGGAAAAAAGTATAAAAAAGGTATAAAAAAGGAAAAAATGAAAAACTAAGCAAAAAAAAGTTTTTATAATTAAAGTAGATACTTTTCAGAAATTCGAGTCCAAATAAGAATGTC